ACATGGAGATAATGAGGCTGAACGTGAGGGTAAGATTGAGTGACGACGAGGATGAGGAGAGAGAGAAATTGGGAACAATAAAATGAGACAGAAAGAGGAAGGAGAGAGAGAGGGAGGAGAGAGAGAGGGAGGAGAGAGAGAGAGAGAGAGAGGAGGGAAAGAGAAAGAAAGAGAGGGAGGGGATAGAGAGAGCCATAGAAAGAGAGAGCCGACGATATTATGTTTTATGATTTTCACAATTCAGAGTGATCATTCGTAATAGATCACGCTATGTTTTATTTACACTTCTGCTACTACAATATGTAGAGCCAATAATTCTTGCAATTCACAGGTGCATTTAAGTTTTCTTCATAAGTCAATAATAAAACATAATTAAAACTTTAAATGAATTTTGAGGAGATAAGATAAAGAGATAAGATGAAGATTAGATTCTGAGATACTAATTTAATTTCCAAGTACATTGCAAGTAAGTACTCAGTTGAATGCAATACATTGTTATAATAAAAAAGTAAGAAAATTGATGTGGTCTTCTAAGAAATATCTCAATTGCTTTGTAAACAGAACAGTGTGACATTCTTTTGTAAACAATAAATTTCATTAAATATGCGAAGAGCATAAACCAAACTAAACACGCAAATTTGATCAAATTTAAAACAACAAACACACATACATACACATATACCTTCGTTTAAACTGTTGCCAAAAGATATAAGATAAATAAAGTTGTATAAAATCACAGAAAGAGAGGGAGAGAGAGCAGTGAAACTTCGTGCACTTAACACAATCAATAAAAGTACCAATACACTTCATAAATTCAATTTTCATATGCATCCATAAGCTTCAATATCAACACTTCTATGTAGTGGTGTAAGTGTTGTTTAAATAAACTTACACACACTTACACTTAGACTCACACTTGAAACGCTTAACAACACTGTTCGATATGTTATACAGATATGTTATACAAAATATCAATTGCAAGCGATAAAAATATTTGCCAAAAGTAAAAATATTACAAAACGAATGTCAATCCTCTTTCATGCAAACGTCTTTTTACAGCTTTACATGCCACACACTCATACCACCATAAGCTCAGTATAAACACACACATACACACACACATACACTCATGCAAATATAAGGACATTTGCTTGCAAATGTACACGACTGAAAATTACTACTCACGACTGTCACTAATAGTAGTAGCAATGGCAGTAGCAGTAGACAAGCAGGAAATGTAGCACTGCACATAGGCAACACTTAAGTGCTGTGTCCGCACGATTTGGCAAACAATTCATCGTACATACAAATTTGGTACACAGAATATAGTACTTCAGTCCAAAGCATATGGAGAGACGTTTGAGGAGAATATGGGAATGTATATATTTGACACACATTCGCTTAATTTATATTTTTATTTGACAATTCTGAAATTCATTTTCTTCAGTAACGCGTTAGTACTGGAAATCACAAGTCTACGTCTGCTCTACAAAATTTGTAAATTTGTATATTCACTAAAAGACGCCAGCGGTTGTCTTCTTGGCCCAACATTTGTGAGTTGATGGTCGTCAATTTTAGAAATTCATTGAGACACTTTAAAGAAGTGTCCTTTGAAGGAGCATTTCTTATGGAGAAACACATTCAATTAGTTATTTGTTTTTCATTTTTTAAATCAAAAAACATTATAAAAAACTGAAAAATTTTTTATTTCTTATAAATATTTTTCTTCCTTAATGAGCAAAAAGTAGAAAGTCTCATACAGAAAACTTATACCATAAATGCAATGTACAGAATCTAGTTTATATATAATTTAATGCATCACATGTACAGGTTTCAATTCTCAAAATAAATATAAATATATAATATATAATAAATATATAATATTTTTTAAATAGTTTTTTTGTTATGGCGTTTTCGATTGGTAAATACTCTCGATTTATTCTAGATTTACTCTCGATTTGTCAGATTTTGTTGCCCAATCAAATATTTTTAGAGTAATCTAACATTTTTGTAGTAAAATTAGTAGACATCTATATTTTTCATAAATGCTAATATCGAATCAAATCACACTTCATCTATTAAATCATATAAACCAGCTGTTAATATTAGGGTTAGCTTGTTATTCTAGCAAAATATCTAGAGTATTATAAATTAATCTCAAGTGAAAATTGCACTAAAATTAAAAATTAAAAATTAAAAAAATGACCCCAGATTTATGAATTCAAAATACCTTTAGAAGGACTGGGCACTTTTTAACGGTATTTCTAATGGTAATGGTATTTCTGCTCAAGTCCAGAAATAGAAGAACCAGATTAATATGTGCGACTGGAAAGAAAACATAAGAGGCAAAACCAAGAAATTACCTTAACTAGAATTTTTTGTTTCTCTAATATGTCTCTAAAAAGATCAGATAAAGTTAGAGAGTAGACATTATTTATGCTCAGCACTTTAAAATTCAACCAATATCCTCAAAAAACTATTAAAATGTCGTATCTGTATTGACTATTCCATGACTATTTGTTATCTACCATTGTTATGCACTGTGATAATTCTAATCAATACTTTTAGATCTTTAGTTTCGCTCATTTCCTTTCAAGTTCAATCACAAAGTATTTCCTCACTTTACAGTAGTAAGTTTTGTAAGTTTTGTACCATCTCTCCTTATAAACGTACCATCATTCCTTGCAAAGTCATTGACTCAACATATAGGTATAATTATAATAGTTTCAAATTCGGATGTGTTCCTGAAAAAATAAATACTGATGTTCTGATTTTGTGATCTTCTTTAGTACTTGCAGACTGATGGTTTTCAGTATTAAGAGATGCATTGATTGGAATACAAACAAAATGTCGTAAATCTTATATGTCCTGATTATGAAGGTGTTTTCAACGAACAATTTTCTTGATATATGTTTTTGTCAGCAAAGATAAAAATTTAAGTAAGTATAGGTTGACACTAAGACACTTAGATACTTCTTCCAAAAAAAAAACAAAAAAAAAGATACTTGATTGTTTTAAGTTATCCAATATATATATACATATATGTTATCTACAATTATACATATTATAGCAAACATGCCATGACTTATTCGTTAACCTTGGGTCCAAGCGATATTTACCTGTAGCAGATATTATCTTTGCAATCACCTTCCTTGTTGCAAATCTAGACATTCTTACCATTTGAATTTTGATTCATTTGCAATAATTGTTTTTTTATCAAACAATTGGCCAGGTTTCTTCTCTGTTTAGCAAAATCGTTTAAGTATGAAGAACTTTTAATCCACTGTTAACATGTGTCTTAAGAGTGTTCCGGTTTTCATCTGTTTTAATAGCTATTCGTGTATGAAAATTTGACCGAATTAATATCTTTCGATATTATCATAATTCTTATATCAAAATATAACTATTATATATCACTATAAAGCAATATAATGACTACTCATATATCGATAGTCTAAAACCTTATCCTAAAAACCTTATTATTTATTTTAATTTTATAATTTTAATTTTATATATATATTTTAATTTCTTGTCGTTTGATTGCCATTAAGTATTCTTCTTCCTATCCATGCTTCTTGACGTTTAATATAAGTGTATAAGATATCATAATATAATATAAGATAGCATCTTTCTAAACAGCGAGTGCTACCTATGGAACTTATTGTGGAATGAAAAATTTTTTCGATTTTTTAGACTAAGTCGAGTTTCAGACTCTTAACCCCCAACCCTGGCTACGTGCCTTACATTACACTCTACTCATCAGAAAGCTTCCATATGCAGCATTAAAAATATATGTCATTGCTTCCACTCCATAATGCATACCAAAGTCTATTACAAAAACGTGTAAAAATATGGACATTTTTATAAATACTTGTAAGATTTTCACTACTTTTTCATAGACTTATTTTTAAATTCTATTTTATTATTTATTATTATATTTTTTTCAATTTTCCTTTTTTAAATATATTTTTTTATTTTTTTACATTACTTTTTTTTCATTTTTATTTATTGTATTTAGTTTAAAATTTTTTTATATTTAATTTTTTTTTTTAATTTTTTTTTTATTTATTTTTAAAATTTTTTTACATTATATTTTTTTTTTGATTTTTATTTATATTTAAGTACTTTCAGGAATTTGACCAAAAATAATATCTTTTGCTTCTCTACTTCATATAAATATTTATAAAAATATTAAAATATAACAATTATTTTAGTTTCATATCCTGTGTAGCAATTTAAAACAATAGTAAAGTACCTGCCTTACATTTCACTTTAAATTGTTTATTTACAATTTAAGTTAAATAAAATATTAAAATCTATGGTTTGCATTAAAAGCACAATCATTTCCAAAGCCAGGTATGTTTGGTTCTTTCAAAGATTGCATACAAAAAAGTATCTTCCTCATGCAGAAGTGTTTCTTGCTTTTCTTTAAATATGCATTATTTTGTATATTTTTAAATTGTATTTTGTTGCTTAAATTTTGTATAAATTTTGTCTACTTCACTTTAAATAAAATAAATATATTATCCTTCCTGAAGATTGTCAACTCATATGTCATTTATTATTCACATGCTCCCCTGTGTGGCCAAAGCAACTGGGAACGAAAGTGTAGAGACTTTTGTGTCAGTTATTCCAATCCTTGAGGACGTTTTGCACTGCAACTCCTGCATTCATCTCATCTCCAATCTAATTGAATTGAAGCAATTATTTCTGTTAAAATAAATAGAATTGCTCATTAAAATTTATTATTTGAGAATAATTTTACTTAAGAAATTTAAAATTTTTGCTTAATGCAAATTTTTACCAGAAAATTTCGTAATACAAATCGGTTTTGGGTTTAAATTATAAAATATCAAAATATCATCGTAGATGCAATTTTTTTTCTGTCTTATTCAGATAAAATGTAAAAAAAAGCAACAACAATTGAATTTTTGATGGTAAAAAAGTTTTCCACTCCACAATGCAAAAGATGCTGGCAAGAAGTTACCTGCAACTTTGATTCAAGTATCCACTTTGTAAGGAACGCGTGTTGCTCCTTCATGCCAGTCTTCAACCAGAGCAGGTGGTGGAGCAGGTAATACTCGTATTGCCATTTTACTTCCCAGTGTATTTTTATTCATTTTAGTTGTTGTTTGCAAGGTGCATAAGGAACTTTCTTCGAAGTGCACTCGATCCTTTATCGAGTTCGTGTCCTGTTGTTGTTGCCAATTTGTTGAAAAAATTGCAACTTCGTTTTTTTGCTTTATTAAATTTTGTTTAAAACTTTATATGTTGTTATGGCAGAGATTACAACAACAGCAACAATAACGATAGCAACTCATAATAATACCAATAAAAATATTTATTATTTTAAATTGCTGGGAAAAACTTCAAAATTGGAAGTAATAAAATCTTTTTCTGCGTAGGGAAGTTAAGTTCATTAGAAGTTAACAATTTGAAGTTCATCGTTGTGAATACAAAATTTCGTTGTTAAATTAAATGTACAAAAAGTTGTTTTCAGTTATTTTAAATTATATCCTTTTCATTTGGTTTTTATTCAAAAATTCCAGAAGTTAAATATTTTATGCAAAATCAAAATTTTGTTGCATTTTTATATAACAAATTAGCACTAGACTATGTTTGATTGGATGATGGACATTCAAAGGTGGGTAAATTCCCTATGCCATACACAATCAACTGTTTCAACTTAGAAATCATGTGAGGATATATGTGTCATATCCATAGAGGCTGAGAAGTAAAACTTTGAGAGACGTTTTAGATATGTATATGTAGGTCACAAATTTCTATTTTAAGTATATATGGATATGTCACTGGGCATAGTCTATACACGTTTTTCTTTTTTTTTAGATCGGAATAATTATTATTATGATGTATATTAATAATATTACTTATTGCCATTCACACCTAACAGATTGTAATAAAATAAATAAATTCAAAGAAAAAACTTTTTTAAAAAAGCTGTTATCGGTTTTCAAATTTATATTCTTGCCAGGGTCTAGCAACTTTTAATAGAGAGGATCTATCAAAATTAAATAATAAAATTTTTTTGCTAATTATAATGCCATATTTAATATCCATATATAACCAAAAAGGCTTTGAAGTATATTAATATTCTATCTCTATATTCTCTCTAAAAGTAGAAGTTCTCAGTTCTCTTTTGATTTCTAAAGTCAATTAGCACGAAAAAAAATATTATTTACGAATAATTATATATAAGAAAAATTTCCAAAGGCCACTCATGATAAGTATTTGGGTTTTCCAAAAATTTAATTAATTTATAAATAATAAAAATTTTTGGTGTTGTTATTCACTACTGTTCGAAATACCTCTCAATAAATATTTCTCATTTATTTAATTATGTACACTGTAAGAAATCGTAAAGATTTCAAATACATCAAATAACTAGAGCGTATTAGACACTAGAGGTACACTTATTTAAATATCACTTTTTTAATATAAGTTAATATAAACAATATGTTATTTATAAAATATTATTACTATATTTCTTAAATATCTTCTGCACAATCATCTTACACTATCTGACTTTCTTTCGTTATTGAATATATCAACAAACTTTCTAGAAAAACTTATTAAAATTTTCTAATCTGAACTCAACATGTACGACGATATCAGACAAAGATGGCGGAGAAGAAGAAGAAAGAGAAGAAGAGGGTGATCTCTACTCTTTTTCAAGGTTATTTTAGGATAAGATAAACATATTCCAAGGAAAAGAGGTTGGAATAAAGAAGTACGTATTTCCAAGGCTATTTCCTTGGTCAACTTAAAACGGAGTTGCATTTTCAAACCGGAAGTTATGAACCAGAGGGTATTAGATAGGCGTTACTTCCAACTTAAGTAAACAGCTTTGACCAAATGTATAGTTTCGATTGGTACCCGTGGATTTTCCTGACAACTTTTAGATTTCTTTTTCGTATTTAATAGCAATCAATAAATAAGTTCTTATTAAATTTTTTAAATTTATTTTCTTAAATAAAATAAGTAATTACAAAATAATTTTGAGTCTCATTGCTCTTTAATTTAAAATGTCAATAAAACCATTAATTTATAATTTAAAATGGATCCATGTTTTTCAAAATATTTAAAATGTTTTCGAATTCTGAATCAACTTCCGTGTTCTCATTCTCTGATGATGTATCGGAAGAAATGTGACGACGTTTAGCATTATTAGTACCGGTACTGTACCTAAGGCATTCAGTTCTGGAAACATCACCCGCTACCTCAAGTGAAGAAAATTCCTTAGATTCATTTGAATAACTACATTTTACATTTTTAGAAGTTTCGTGAGATTTGGAGTTTTCTATCAAACTAATATTCCGTAACCATTCAGCGCTAAAAATATCATCTGGTACCTTAAGTAAGGAACATTTCTTAGAATCACTTAAAGAACTATGTTTCATATCCATTGATATTTGGCGATGTTTTGAGTTCTTAATCAAGTCAATATTTTTCAGACATTCAGTGATGGAACCATCATCTGAAATCTCAAGAGCAGATGATGTACACTTCTCAGTATCGTTTGAATGACTTTGGTTTATTTTTTTAGAAATATCATGATATTTCGGGTTTTCAGTCAGAATGGTATTCTGCAAATATTCATCGCGTGAGTTTTTATCTGTGACATCAAGAAGAGACTTTTTCTTATAATGATTCGAACGATTATGTGTTACATTCTTAGAAATGTAACGACGATTTGAGTTGTCACTTAAATTAATATTTTTGTTAAAGCTAGAACATGAATCATCAACTTTAACCTTCAGTGAAGGAGGTTTCGCAGTATTACTTAAACGTGTATCAGCCAAATTAATATTTTTATTAAATTTATGATGTCCTAAAACATCATCTTTCGCTTCCAGTTCCTTAGTACTACTTAAACATCTACGTTTTTCATTCCTAGAAATGTGCTGGGCGGTTGAGTTGTCAGCAAAATTAATGTTTTTATCAAATTCAGAACAGGAACGTTTACATTTGACCTCCAGTAAAGAAGGTTCCTTAGTACTACTTAAGCGTCTTTGTTTTGCATTCGTAGGGATATTCTGGGGTTTTAAGTTCGCTGCCAAATTAATATTCTTATCAAGTACGGAACAGAAACCTTTTTTTTTATCGTCCAGTAAAGCAAATTCCTCAGTACTGCTAAAGGGTCTACGTTTTGCGTTTCGAGAATTGTGCTGCGCTTTTGAGTTCCCAGCCAATTTACTGTTCCTTTCAAATTTAGAAAGGGAATTGGTATCGTTTGTTTCCAGTAAAGAACTTTCTTCAGTACTACTTAAACGTCTACGTTTTGCTTTTGTAGCAATATGCTGGGGTTTTGAATTCCCAGTTAAATTAATGTTCTTACCAAATACAGAACGGAAACCGTCATCTTTGGCTACCAATAAAGAATGTTCATTACTACTACTTAAACGTTTACGTTTTACGTTCTTTGACACGTAACTACGTTTTGAGTTGTCTGCTAAAATAATATTCTTATCACGTTCCTCAGTACTGCTAAAACATTCACGTATTGTATTCTTGGAAGTGTGCTCGGGTTTTGAGTTCCCATCTGAATTAATGCTCTTATCAAATTCAGAACGGGAAGCATCATCTTTGGCTGCCAATGAAGAATGTTCCTCAGTATTATTTAAACGTCTACATTTTGGATCCCTAGAAATGGGAATACGTTTTGCATTATCAGTCAAGTTCTTATCTTTCACACTCTCAACGCTTGAACCAACTTCTGTAGACTCAAGGAATGAACTGTTCTCAGAATTGCTTAAGGATGAATGACTACGTTTCACCGCCCGATTGAAGTTGTTATTTCTATCATCGCGAATGTTATTAAAACTTATATTAGCACAGCTGCTCTTTATAGAATTAACAAATTGATCACTTCTCTCAAAATCTACACCAACTTTCAATTTCTTTACATGTTTTTCTTCAGTGGACGATTTTTTTGATTTTGATATACTACCATAACGTAACAATCTATCCATATTTTTAATGATGCGTGTAGGACAAGTGTTACCATCTCCTTTTAAGGTCGAGCCGCATTTCTTTGTAATCTTCTTTGAAATCGTACTTATATCATCATATTTATATTGTTTATCACTCCCACTGTCACTGCAATTGTCTTCAGTGCTTTCATCATTTTCACTATCTCCAATATTTATAGTACACCTAACAGAACACGATCTCTTCTTTGAAGATTTTTTTGGGGCACAAGACCTACGTTTTGTTGTGCATTTTTTTTTAGGTTTTCTTTTCCTTACACAACATTTACTGCAAGCTGCCTGTGTATCTCGTTTTTTGAGAAATTTTTTGACACAATCATTTACGTCTTTTGGATCAACCTGAAAGTAATTTAAGGAAATGGTTTATAACTATATTTTTGCGGGATATGGAAACTTACGGGTATTTCTTGATTAGCGCATTTATGGAGACGATTTTCAAATTCAATAAAATCTCTAACATCTCTTTGACTTATAGCATTTCTGCGGTAATCGTTTATTAAATTTTCGTATTTTATGGTGTAGTAAGCATTTTCGATTAGAATTCGGAACACATCACGTTTCGCCATGGAACACATTTTGGAATAGAATTCTCCAAATTTAATTTTGTCAAATGAACTGTCCTTAGAGGAATTATTTATTTTCAGTTGTTTCAAAACTTTTATTTTTACGTGAATACTCAAAGATTTTTTTGGTTTGCAACATTTATAAAACAAAAAAAAAAAGATTTATTCAAGGGAAAATTAGGTTTCTGACACTTGTTTATAGAACAAATTGCTTACTGAGTTTATAAGAACTGGATTATTTTATAAAAAATTTTAGTAAACTAAGATCATAATCAGTTAGTGGATCTGCCTTTAAAAAGGTGTTAGAGTATTACTTTCTAGATGCTCTTATTCAACTATTGAAACTACCCTTAAAGAGTTGCCAAAGGTTTCAAGAACATTTTGATTAGTAAATGAATCTGCTGTCAAAGAGGTGCTTAAAAGTTTCTTATTAGAAGATCTTGTTCAACTATTGGAACTGCCCTCAAAGAGCTGCTAAGGGATGACTGTTAGGATGATCTTAATAAGTTAGTGGATCTGTCTTTGAAAAGGTGCTAGTGGATTACTTTCTAGATGATCTTATTCAACTGTTGAAACTGTCCTCAAAGAGCTGCTAGGGGATGCCTTTCCAAAACATCTTAAACAGTTCATAAATCTGCTTTCAAAGAGGTGCTGGAAGATTTCTTATTAGAAGATCCTGGTCAATTATTGGAATTGTACTCAAAGTGCTGCTAGAAGATTCCTTATTATAAGATCTTGTTTAATTATTGGAACTGCCTTCAAAGAACTGCTAGTGAATTACTTTTCAGAAGATCTTAATTAGCTATTAGATCTACCTTCTAAGAGATTTCTTTTTATTTTTAAAGATCAAATCCAATGGTTTTAAAGCATTTCAGTTTTATTCAATGAGATGATAAACTTAAGTAGATCTCATAATAATATAACATACCATCTTGGCAGTTATTTAGGTCAGCTATGATCATTTATATGAAACTTCATTTATACATTAAATAACTTAGAACTTGTTGTAAGAAGAAAATCGACTGATTTTGCAATAATCATATAGTTTTGTTTATGTATCCTTAGCGCAATTTCATACTAATAATGCGAAAAACATGTACTCAGTATATTCTTGAAATTAATTCCGATTTGTACATTAGGCAATTTTATAGTTTGCTTAACTTTAACGCAGAAATGTTCACACATATTGGATGAATGGTAATCAGAATTAAATTTCGACTGTCACTTGAACTCATTTACAAATGGAACCGTTTAAGTGAGCTAATTAAACAACTGCTAATGGCTGCTGCACGTACCGCACAAAATGCTAAAAGGCTTAATTACATTTGTCAACGCTTTAATGATGATGATGACGCTGCAGCTAAGTAAATTCATTCGTTGATATACATTCAGGCTCAGATACGGCCAGAACACATTCGGAGTTACAGAAATTAAATTGCCCACAAGCAAAAAATGGTTAATCAACTATTTCACAGATATAGAGATATGATGAGATACATTCACACAACTACACATTGATACAACAACAACAGTAACAACAACAACAACAACAACAACAAAATCAAAATGTACAAATCAAAATGTTCGCTTCAAGTCTAAATAGAATTGCACCTGATGGTTCCATCGGAATTGGCACACGGTGCCTTTGCAAAGTGGCACGTTAATGTTTTTCGAATGCCATTTTCGACAATTCCGAAGGAAGCACAATATCCGCAATTTATAACTGCTGGCAGCTTGGGGAGTGCAGTGGGTCTATGGAAATTACTATTTCGACATTATTGTTGTATGTTGCCCGTCTAACCGCCTGCCCGCCTGCATGCTTGCCTGCTTGCTTGCCTTGTGATGTATTGTTCCTGGCGCCATTAAAGGCATAATGAGGCAATTGTGTGAGGCCCATAAGTTGAGGCGTTGAAAGGGTTTTCTATTCCGAAATTGTTGTAGCATAAAGTGTCGTCAATGCCGTTTATATGTTTAATTGTTGTTATTGTTTTCGTCCTTACCTTGT